GCATACTTTACTTCAGTTTTTTAAAACAAAACAGATGAAAGAATAAATTGGATGTATAACTGATAGCCATTAACTTAGGGCTGATTTAAAGTGTGTGTGTGTGTGTGTGTGGGCGCGCACACATGTGTATGTGTATTCCAGGACTGAACAATGATTACCTTGACCTTCAGCAACCTGTTGAAGCTAAACCTGCATTTCCTGCAAAGTTTGGGACATTAAGAGAATTCACAATGACAGTTTAGTGCAAAACGTTTTTTTCTGGTTCTCAGGGCCTTTAAAGACAATCACTCTTCTAAGCAAGGTCATAGTTTTTTTTAATTGCAATTCTTGCAGTTGTAAAGCTATTGCAGTAACAAAAGCTCAGATTAAAACTGATTTTCAACGGACCTACCTTCAAGTTTATATTTAAACGAATGCATTTCCATATAATCTAATCTAATCTAATACAATATAATATAATATTCTGTTTTTGTTCTTAAAAGTCGGACCATTAAGTTATTTGAAAAAGAAAAAAAAAAGAAAATCATTTATTTTACAATTTTAAGTCCTCTATGACCTTGGAAAATAGACACTGAATATCTAATATATATAAGAAATCGCAATTTTTAGTTTAACCAGTTATTATTAACCAGTAATTTATCAGATTCTAATAGCTAAAGTTATCAGATAATTCACACAGTGGAACATCTATTTTAAGCATATTTTGTTTTACCTAAAAGCTGAATATCATGCACGTCCAGACAAATGAAGGGCACATACCCATGTTCCCCCAAAGAGTTAATATTAGTTACCCTTTCAGCCGTGACTGCCCCATCACCTTAATAATAACACATTAACAGAGGTCAGTTGACAACCAGCTACCAGTTTGTATGTACTACACACAGACGTTTGTCTGTAACACATCATACTACTTCAATTGGGGCTTGAAGGTAAGTCTGCTTGTCTTACATGTAAGTATTTTATCTTCATTCAAGCAGCTTATTTGTAATTGCATTAGTCACACTGCAATGCAAACACTTCAAGACAAAATGAAGCGCCCGGATGAGCCTCGAAGGAGTAAAGCAGATGGCGAGAACAACAACTGGGAGCAAGAAAATCAATCGGACACATCCCACAATAAGAGCCCGCTCCTTTCGGATCCATGGAAACCATGCAGACAGCACCGTGCTGTTGTCAAAGGTCAGAGTGGTTGGAAAATCATTATAATCTGATCAATACTGATCCAATCAATCTATCTGAGAGCAGCCGTGTGCAATCTTAATCAAGTATGTAGTTTTACGCTGGAGCTCCAGTTTGGTTTGACCTCAATCTGAAAAGTCATACATTGATTAGAATCTTGAACTCAGTAACAGAGTTTATTGATAAGATATTATCACATCTTTTAAATATGTATTTTCTGCTCTAAGGACAGGATGCAACACTGAAACCTAATTACTGATTTGATATCACATTAATATTCAGTTCTCATACCCAAGTATAATTGGTTGCTGTTATATTTCATACTATACATCTGGTGATTTAACTTTCATATTATATTTTTATACTTCTGTTATTTCAGTTATACTAAACTGTCATTTGATTTCATTGTTACTTGTGTATCCAACCACAGAGCTGCGCACAATCCTTGTTTTTTAGATTCATGCAAGGCTTGGGTCACTTAACTTGAAACAACAACTACAGAACCACTCGTGCTAATACTGAAGTAAGTAAAAGCATTCTTTACTGCAGTAGAAGTACAAATACTAGTGCGAAAATATTCCTGTTACCTTTACACGGATATATGTGGTAGAAACTTCCTCCAAAGAGCTACTTTATACTTTGAGTACATTTCAGATCCTGTACTTTTTCACTTTTATTTGAGTAAAGAGGTTGAATCAGTACTTCAGTGTTTTTAGCACTAGTGTCTGTAGTTCTACTTAAGTACAGCATGTTTGAACATAGTGTTTGTTCAGATGGGTGCTTACTTCAATATTAGCTTATGCGATTCTGTAGGTGTTGTTTCAAGTTAAGTCATCTGACTCAAGCCTTGGACAAATCTAAAAAAAAAAAAGGATTGTGCACAGCTACATAGTTGAATACATAAGTGTGGGGGAAATCTGTCTGTCCCCTGTGCTCTGGAAGAGGCACCCTAGAACACGTCAACAGCTGCCCGAAGGCCCGGGCGATGGTCGGTATCGTTGGCGTTCCTGCGATCCAGGGGCTTTGCAGGATGATCACTGCAATGTCCTCGGCTGGCTGGGTGTGGCTGGGGCAGCCAAAAAGAATGTCATCCAGGCTGTGAGAGAAGCGGCAGAGAAAGCCACAAGGTGGCTGTGGATTAAGAGGGCTGATCCGTTGGTAGCTACTGGTATGCAAGTCGGGGCCTGATCACCCCCGGCTGGCTCGCCTGAGCGAGGGTCTGTGATGTTGTGAGACCCAAAACAACTGATTACCCAGGATACACCACTGGGGGAATGGGTTAAATGCAGAGAGGAATTTCCCCACGGGGATCAATAAAGTATACCTTATTATTATTATTAACCTCTTAAGCTCCAAGCCTACCTAATCTCCTGCCTTTTGCTGCCGTATCAGGGGTCGTTGGGGCTTAAAGCGCTATACAAATACAGGCCATTTACCATTTAAGAGGTTAACTCCAAGTGGACAAACAAAATAGAACAAAACAAGATGACGAAAACAATCACTGGTTGCCCATAGAAGCCAGGATAAATTTTAAAATCTTACTTCTTACATACAAGTGTATCCATAAATCTGCTCCTTCATATTTGTTTGACCTGCTCCATATCACCACTGTTTCCCACCTTCTCAGATCATCATCTGCTATTCATCTTACTGTTCCGTCCGCTCGGCTTATTCGCTTTAATGCTGATTTTATCTGTTTTGTAATTTTAACTTATTTTATGTATTTTATGACTACTGTTCCTTTTATTAATTGTGTTTTTTGTAAGGTGACCTTGGGTTTCTGAAAGGCGCCCTCAAATAAAATGTATTATTATTATTATTATTA